AAGAAAGAAAGATAAATTACCCAGGCGACTCCCGCCTCGTCCCACTCATCAGGGCCAGGGCCAGACGGCGGCGGGGCCATTTTATATTTTATTTTATTTATTTATTTAATGTGCTAACGACCTAATCAAGCAATCAAGTCGGAGAAGATTGCGGAGTGACCCCCCGGGCCTCCATCTGCCAGCCAAGGCCCTCGCCATTCATCGCCATTCCGGCGGGGAAGGGAGGCTCCGCTTTTCCCTGGAAAGGGAAATGGCGGGCCTTTGAGTGGAGGAGTGAAGGGGGAGCTTTAAAATAAAGATTCCTAAACAAATTAACACCCAATTTTCCAGCCTAATTAGGCAAATGAGGAAAGGCCGGTGGCGTGGCACTGTATATATGTGTTGTTGTTGTGGCACCCGCCTCATGGAGGAGCGAGCGGGAACTTCTTCTCCACAGCCGCCGCCGCCGCGGCATTAATTAGCGCGGGTCAATGGCGCCCACCCCGAGGGAGCAGCCGCTTTAATTTCCCGTGATATTTCAACGCCTGAGGCCCATCGATTCAAACTGAAATTAACTTATTTTTCAATCAGGCTCGGGCTGCCCCTGGGGCCGACTCTTCCTTTGCCTTCTCCTCCTGAATAGGCCGCCAGCAATTTTTCATCTCAAAGCTCAGCTGAGGCGAGGGGAGAGGAAGATGGGGGACGACGCGCTAATAGATTTCTGCCTGCCAGGCTCATTGCCTCAGGCTAGGCCTCAGCCCTCAGGAGGCCATGACACGAGGGCCCGCTCCTCAAAGGGCAGGGAGAGGTTCCCAGTTTGGCCATGAAACCCACACTAGGTGGCCCTGGGCAAGTCACACTCTCTCAGCCCCAGGGGAAGGCAATGGCAAACCACCTCTGAACCAATCTTGCTAAGAAAACCCCAGGATAGGTTCGCCTTAGGGTGGTCATCAGTTTAACAAAATGACTTAGAGGCACACAACAACAGCTTGGCCATGAAACCCACATTAGATGGCCTTTGGCATGTCACACTCTCTCAGCCTCAGGGGAAGGCAATGGCAAACCTCCTCTGAACAAGTCTTGCCAAGAAAACCCTGTCATAGGTTCGCTTTAAGTAAGGTGACCATCTGTCAAAAATGACTTGGAGGCACACAATAACAACAGCACAGGGAAGCCAACATGGTGTAGTGGTTTGAATGTTGGACATGTCTCTGGAGACTATGGGGGGGTTGCAGACTGCCAGAAATAGTGCAAATTGAGTCCACTTTTAGGGTTAGGGTTAGTGCTAGGGAATCATGGGAATTGTTTTCTTTTTCTGAGACATTGAGCCTTCTCTGTCAGAGAGCTCTGGTGCCACAATAAAATACAGTTCCCATGATTCCCTAACCCTAACCCTAAAAATGGACTCAATTTGCACTATTTCAAGCTGTCTGCAACCCCCCCTAAGATTCAAATCCTGGCTTGGCCCTGAAACCCACTAGGTAACCTTGGGCAAGTAACACTCTCTCAGCCTCAGGGGAAGGCAATGGTAAACCCCCTCTGAACAAATCTTGCCAAAAAAACCCTGTCATAGGTTTGCCTTAGGGCCATCATAAGCAAAAAGACTTGGAGGCACACAGCAACAACAGCAGGGGCTGGTGTCGTGGTTTGAGCTTTGGACTATGACTCTAGAGACCAGGGTTCAAATACCAGCTTGGCCATGTAAACCCGCTGGGTGATGACCTTGGGCAAGTCATACTCTCTCAGCCTCAGAGGATGGCAATGGCAAACATCCTCTGAATGAATCTTGCCAAGAAAAACCTGTCATAGGTTTGCCTTAGGGTAGCCATATGTCAAAAATGGCTTGGAGGCACACAACAACAACAGCACGGAGAAGGCACCGTGGTGTAGTGGTTTGAATGTTGGACAATGACTCTGGAGACCAGGGATAAAATCCCAGCTCAGCCCTGAAACTCACTGGATGGCTTGGGCATGTCACACTCTCTCAATCTCAGGGGAAAGCAATGGCAAACCTCAGAATGAATCTTGCCAAGTAAACCCTTAGGTTGCCATAAGTCAAAAATGACTTGGACACACAAAAACAGCACAGAGAAAGCAATATGATGTAGTGGTTTGAGCACTAGACTATGACTATGGAGAGTAGGATTAAAATCTCATCTTGGCCATGTAGACCCACTGGGTGACCTTGGGCATGTCACACTTTCTCAGCCTCAGGGGAAGGCAATGGCAAACCTCCTCTGAACAAATCCTGCCAAGAAAACACTGTCAGATATGACTTGGGGGCCCACAGCAACAACAGCACAGGGTGGTGTGGTGGTTTGAATATTGGACTATGACTCTGGAGACCTGGGTTCAAATCCCAGATCAGCCATTAAACTGACTGGCTGACCTTGGGCAAGTCACACTCTCTCAGCCTCAGGGGAAAGCCAAAGTAAACCTCATCTGAACAAATCTTGCCAATAAAACTCCAGCATAGGTTCGCCTTAGGGTGACCATAAGTTAAAAAAAATGACTTAGAGGCACACAACAACAACAGCATGGAGAAGGCAGCATGGTGTAGTCGTTTGAGCATTAGATTATGATCCTGGAGACCAGGGTTCAAACCCCAGCTGGGCCATGTAAACCCACTGGGTGACATTGGGCAAATCACACTCTCTCAGCCCCAGTCACACTCTCTCAACTGCCTCTGATGAAACTTGCCAAGAAAAGCCCACTGTAACTTTGCATTATGGCCACCATAATTCGGAAATGACTTGAAAGTATACAACACATGCAAACACAGAGCCAGTGTGATGTCATGGTATGAACATTGGGCAAGTCAGTGGCAAACTCAGTGGCAAACTCAGTGGCAAACCCCCTCTGAAAAAATTTGCCAAGAAAACCCCATGATAGCCTTAGGGTTGCCATAAGTTGGAAATGACTTGAAGGCACATGACAATAAAACCAACAGTGGCTAGTAGTTCTCTCCACGGATGTGCCACACTCCAAGCTCAATAAGCCCTCCTTATCTTGTGGAAGCGAAACCCTCTCTCTTCTCCCTCTTTCCTTCTCTTTATGGCTCTGCTGCCCATTAAATTATAAAGGGAGAAAATCGCAGGCAAGAGAGCCAAAAGCCACCAGCAACAGAAAGAAAGTAATGTGAAATTAGACTCTGGAGACCCTAAGTTTAATTTCCTACTCAGCCATGAAACCCTCTGTTTAAAGACCTCCAAAGGAGACTCCATCACAATGTATGTTCCACTGTCGAAGAGCACTTATTGTTGGTAAGTTCCTCCTAATGTTGAGGTGGAATCTCTTTTCCTGTAGATCTCATCCATTGTTCTGGGTCCTATTTCAGCCCTATGAGGAACGACTTAGGGAGCTGGGGATGTTTAGCCTTGAGAAGAGAAGATTAAGAGGCGATATGATAACGGTGTTTAAATATTTAAAGGGATGTCATATTGAGGAGGGAACAAGCTTGTTTTCTGCTGCTCCAGACACTAGGACCCGAAACAATGGATGTAAGCTCTAGGAAAAGAGATTCCACCTCAACATTAGGAGGAACTTTCTGACAGTAAGGGTTGTTCAGCAGTGGAACACACTCCCTCTGAGAGTAGAGTCTCCTTCCTTGGAGGTCTTTGAAGCTGAGTGGCCATTTGTTGGGGGTCCTTTAATTGGGAGTTCCTGCATGGCAGGGGGTTGGACTGGATGGTCCTTGTGGTCTCTTCCAACTCTATGATTCTATGATTCTATTCTCTGGAGCAGCAGAAAACAAGCTTGCTCCTTCCTCAGTGTGACAGCCTTGCAAATATTAGACAGGGCTATCATATCACCTCTCCTCCACATATTAACTTTATCTCCTCCAAGCTGAACATACCCAGCTCCCTGAGTCTATCCTCGTAGGACATGGTTTCCAGACCTTTCACCATTTTAGTCACCCTTCTTTGGACACGCTCCAGCTTGTCAACGTTCTTTATGAATTGTGGTGCCCAGAACCAGATGCAGCATTTCAGGTGAGGACTGACCAAAGCAGAATAGAGTGGCACTATTACTTCCCTTGATCCAGACACTATAATTGTATTGCTGCATCCTAGAATTGCATTGGCCTTTGAAGTCTCCGAAAGCTGCCAACTTTTTCTTTTAGTTAGTCTCAAAGGTGCTACAAGATCTCTCTACATAGTGATTCTATAGAATAACACAGCTATATCTTTGAATTCTACCACTTTTGACTCATGTTCAGCTTGTAGTCTACTAGGACTCCTAGATCCCTTTCACATGTTAAGCCAGGTGACCCCTGTCCTCTTTCTCTCGTTCTACTTCCCTCCACCTTTCCTAGCATTATTGTTTTTTCCAATGATTCATGCCTTCTCATAATGTGTCTGAAGTATGACAGCCTCAGTTTTGTCATCTTGGCATCTAGGGAGATTTCTGGCTTGATCTACTCCAGGACCCAATTGTTTGTCTTTTTGGCTGTCCATGGGATCCTCACCACTCTTCTCCAGCACCACACCTCAAATAAGTTGATTTTCTTCCCATCCACTTTCTTAACTGTCCAACTCTCATATCCATACATGGTAATTGGGTAACCCATACACATAATTTCCAATTATCTGTGGACAATACTCTCAACAATACTGGGTCACCACCAACCTCAGCTCAATGACCCTTTCAGTTTGGTGTTCTCTCTCCTACAGAGGAAGATACATGGCTTTATTCAGTGGTGTTGTAGGGGAGTGGAAAACCTTGTTATAAGACTGAACCTAGAGTTGTGGCATGGTCTTGGGAAGACATGCTGTATGTGACACCATCAGTTCCTCTACTGGCAAAATTGGAACTCGGCTGGAGAAAGGAAGAATGGACTCTATCTTTTTGTTCTGTCAGTTGTCCTGTGTTTCTGATGAAGCAGAGGACGTGTTGAGGATATGTTGGACAGTGCATAAGGAATACTCCTCTCTCTGGTATAAGAAGTACTTCTTCATACAGCACACGAAGAAATCACTGCCAGGAGATATTATAGCTGACAAGTTGGACAGCTTTTAAAGATTAGACAAACACATGAGGCCATCAACAGCTGCTAGTCACAATGACCATGTTATCACCTATATGTCACTGTCAGGCTAGTCTATACGTTTAAAATACTCCTCATTCCAATCAAATAGAATGTGATCTGTCCACACATGATTTGCAGGAGTTTGGGCTTTTTGTGAGCCCCCCCCCCCAACTCCTTAAACTCGGTGTAAAGGCTTTGTGGTAGTTACTGAAGTGTTCGCTGAAATCTGCAGAATTATTATCTCACATTTGGCTGTCTGCTTCGCATGCACTCAGATGGCAGAGTATGTGTGTGTGTGTGAATATATGTGAATAGATGCAGATTTGCAAGTGAAAGTGAAGATAATTAACTGCCAATGGGAATGTGCAAAAATGTGCACCAATTTGCACAGTACACTGATGTGTAGACTCAGACCAAATTACCACTGATTTGGCCATATTTCAGCCCAAATGATAATTGGAAGTGAGACTGGATTACATCCAGTCACCATTTTGACCAAGATATGGCTAGAAAATTAATAATGGAAAGGGAATTTGAGGAATTTTGGTATGGTTTTGGAGTGAACATTACCCCAAAACAGCAAAAATTGGGGGGCAATTGGAGGGAGCTGGTAGGTGGTTCTGAGGCCAGAAATGTGGGGCTTGAGGCTGCAGTTTTCATAGCTCTGACCTACAGGATCAGAGGGAAAAAAATACAAGATGAGGTACAGTTGCACTCAGGTCTTGCATCATCATCATTATCATCATCATCATCATCATCATCATTTATATCCCTCCTCTCTGTAGATACAACCGGGGCAGCTTTGTGGTTTTTACTGATTCTAAGCTTCTTGATGCAGAAACAGGCTGAACTGTGTTAAAGGACAATCCTGTCTTTAGGATGTCCCAGTTTAGGCCTTTTCTTCTTTTTTGTGATTCAGGCTGGTTTGCATAAAGGGTCATTCTGACATGCATTGCAAGAGAAAGGTTTGACACTGCTATGGCAATGGGAAAGCAGAAGAGATCTTGAAACCACTTTTTCGCTTACTACATCAGAGGAGCTCAGCTAAGCTTTGGCACTTAATGTTGAAACTATTAAAGGGTTCAACTTTGGTACTTGTGCTGAAACAATTGAAGATCTCCTCGACTCTTGTCCCAGTAGTAGCAACAGTGGTAGATGAAGCTTTACAGAAAGCAGTAAATGGAGATTCAAGGAACATAGAAGAATAGCCATGGAGAACTCACTGTCTCTGTTTGCACAGCCTCATGCTCTTTTGGCTACACTTAAATGTAATTTGAGTCCAAAGCACACTGGAGAAATAATCCAGTTTGAGACCTCTGTAACTGCCCTGGCTCAGTGCTAGGGAATGCTGGGATCTGGAGTTTGGTGAGACATTCAGTCTTCTCTGTCAGAGAGCGCTGGTGCCACAACAACTACAGTTCCCAGGATTTCCTAGTACTGAGCCAGGGCAGTTAAAGTGGTCCCAAACTGAATTATTTCTGCAATGTGTTTTGGACCTAAGACACAGAGCTTTTACGTACATGGTGACTAGGAGCTGCTAAAATTGTATAAGCTTTTTTAATTTTTGCATTGAAACAGGTATACTCAGGCTGCTTTCTCACTATCCTTTTAGGGGAATCATTATGCTTCTTTCACTTGTATTTACAAGTGTTCCATATAATAGTGTCATCAATTGTTAATCCTCATATGTTTCCTGGTGCTTCTCCCATCTTTTTTCTTACCTCAGAAAATTTAACCTCCGTGTGTGCTGTCTTTTGACATGGGTAATAACATATGGGACAGATAAGCTTTACCCAATACGAATTCACCAACTTTTGCATTGGGCACCATTTTATAACCCTATTATTTTGTTAATTGATTTTTAAATTAATGCTAAAATGCTCTTCTGGCTTATCTTTGAAAAAAATTAAAATACGTGAAAAACTGCTTGAATGAAATAATGTTCTATAATACTAATTTCAAAAAGCAAGCCTTTTTAGGTCTTAATTACAATTTGGATCCAAAACAATTATTAATCTCTTTGCATTTTTATTTTTAATGGGTAGTGATTGGCAGTCTTGCCTAAATAAGTCCTTGGTGCTAAATAATTCTTATTACTGCTTTTAGCTTGTTTCTTTTCAAATTATTGTTCCAGTGAATTGGACTTTCACCTTTTCAACCCACAGCAGTTAGGTCTATGGTGCCACTAGCCACTTTCCTTGTGGATGGAACACAAAAAGATGAAAGTACAACATTCCCAGCTGTATGGGAAGTGAATTGCTGCTAGTACTGGTAGTTTACAGTTGAAATGCAACAGTATTGGTTTCACTCAATTATGTTTCTTTTTGTAGGTTTGGTTTCAG